AAGTTTAATGTTAATAAAGAAAAAAAACAATTAAAAATAAGTAGTAAGTACATACTTTTGCATAATTTATAATGTTTATTCATATTTTATTAGTTCCAGCAATTGTAGTCACCATGAAAAGATAGAAATACAAAATAGATTCTTGAAATATATGATTGATTCACGTTTCAGCACAATAGTCGGAGCTGAAAAATTTGACTAGAAAAAAATTAAAAAAGAAAAACCTTTTCTATCAACAGTCAGAGAGGTATTTGATGAAAAGGCATTATTATTGTTTTTATAATCAAACGTTTATTTTATCTCTACTTTGAAGAAAAAATTATTAATATTCAAAAATATATAATATTTAAATACAAAATGCTTTAAGGTTACATGGGTTTAGGGGCTTCAACAAAACAATTTTTTTATTATCTTATTAAATTCTAAAACACCTTTAGAATATTGTCTTCAAGTTGATCCGAGTAATAGTTTCAGAGATACAAGCTTGAGAACTTGTGTTCTCGAGGCTAGCTAGGCTAAGTGCGTCGCCTTTAAACATGTTTGTGTATTTGAGGTCGGTTGGTAAGATTTCTCGAGAACTCCACAGCCAATCTTCACCGAATTTTATATAGGTTTTTGAGATACAATTCTTAAAGCTTTGACGAAGCATTGTTTTCTTAGATTACAACTATTTGAAAAAAAAGTGTCGCAGAATTTTCAGTGAAATTTTAGTTTTTTTTTGTAAAAGTGTCTGCCAAAATACAACTTTCAGGTTTTTTTCTTCGTCCAAGTCCTAAATTAAAGTTTTTATATGAGAAGAAAATTGTTGAAAAAGGCTGTTTTTACCCGAGAAAACCCATGGAACCCGTTAATATAAAAATATTATAAATATTTGAAAATTTGTGAATTCGGGTTCTGAAGTTCTTTTTCAAAATGACTGGAAAATCAAAAAATGAATAATTATTATAAAGAAAATTTCGGGAAAATTAAGGATATTGAGAAGTTGTGGGTTCAGAATAAAAAAAATCGATATCTTGTGGATTTCCTTAAAGTATAATACCTAAGGAATATTATTTGAAAAGTTGAAGCAATAAAAACTTTTGGAGTTATTCGATAATACTGGGTAAAAAAAAATTAAACTTTTTTCGATACATAAAATCTTATATCAATTTTAGGATGTACTAGGGCTAACACTAAACAATAAAATATGAATGAAAAAGAATAGTACAAAACAAATATCATTACCAAAAATGTAAAATAACGTCTCATAAAAAAATCGAAATTTCACAGACAAATATAACCACTATTTTATAACCAAAACTCAAATTTTGTTTCAAAATTATTGGTTTCTTTTATATCCATTTTCCTTCGCCTGTAAACTTAAGAAAAGTGATGTTACGTCATTTTGCAATAATTTTTTGTCAAAAAAGTTCAAACATCAGCTACACTTAGAAATTTTTTTGTTTAATTAAGAAAAGTGCACATGATTTTCGTGAACATTTGGCTTCTGAAAGGATTTTTCACATCTCCAGCAATAATTTGCCTTCATTCCTACGTTCTGTTTAACTTGATAAGGATATTAAGGAAAGATCACGAAGGAACGAAACTCTTGTCTTGTTCTTCCCTCCCAACATACAAATATGCCTGAAAGAAATCCAGATAACAGTCCAGCATATGCTTTTTTTGGACAACCCAAAGCTTTATAAGACATTTCCAGATCATTAAGTATTTCTTCAAATCTCCCTTAACAGTTGTGTGATTCTAAAAATATTCCCTCTTTAAGTTTTGCATCGCCAAGTTTGTAGAATTTATCTTTAATATACACGCTGAAATTTGGAAGTTAATTCCCCAGATACATTACAAAAACTGTCAGAGTCGCTAAACCCCTCTCGTGGCATGTTTATGATACAATAAGCGCATATATGATGTAAGTTAGACGAATGCAATATTTATACAATACAGTCGTATAAATTAAGTTATTTAGTAAAAAATACACGTATATGAGGTCAGAAATGAAAACGTAGCTTTCACAAAATAAAGCTGGACGTGGTATATTATAAGGTATATTATAGGGTATAGTATTGGGTGTAATAGGGTTTATATTATAGGTTACATCAACAATAAGTAAATAATAATCAACAAGATCGCGTGTCAAAAATAGTGTTTATCATGGAATTAGCAAAACGTTCTCGGCCGCTTTAAAACGTAAGTGTAAAACTTAAATTGTGTTTTAGGACTTACCTGGTTTTTAGAATATATTTAGTAATAATTAGTTGTGGAGCATGCACTTCTGAGAACTTTTGGTATAAGATTTCCAAATCATTTCTCCTCTATTACGTGAAACTAGAAAAATTCAGTCTTTGCACTGCGACCTATCGTCTATATCTATGGGCCTAAGTATATAAACAACTAGATTAATTTCTATGACGATCAAAATTTGCAAATAGCACCAAAGTTTAAACAAAAATAGTTTCGGTTCCTTAAAATTTTACTTCCAGTGTTGGAAATTAAATTACTATCTTAGTCTTAGAATGTTAAAATAACCCTCAAAATTTCTTATCGTAAATAAAAAACACTTTTTATAATATTCACAATAAAACAATTTTTATTTAAACTTGACACAATTGCTTTACAAAAAAACAAGAAAAAAAAACAAAATTAAAGTTACAAAAATAAAAAGGAAGCACAAATAAATTACATATAAGAGTAACCTGAAGGAATTGTTGCAACAATTTTATGCCATTACTTTTTAGATATCACAAAGTGAACGTTCATGTAAAGGAAACAGAAGTTTGAGAGATTGAAATATGTATGAAATGTGAAATGTAATCATAGGAAAATGAGAAACAATTAAGAACACATTTAAAGCAAAGAAAATAATTGAATATTAAAGTAAATGCAAATTAAAATTGATCGCGATCATAAAAAATAAAATAAAATAAAATAAAAAACAAAATAATATAAAGCAAAACCCAAACGAAATGAAATGAAAATGAAACAAACCAAAGCATGCAGAATTTAAGTTGAAACGATAGGAATAAGTTGTATGAGAAATCGCTAGTAGTTCGAGTAGTTCGAGAAGACAGAAATGCAAGCTTAGCGCGCTGTGCCGCACAGCTGCAACGCCAGACGCAACGCGCTCAGCGCTTAGTTACAGATAGCTCAGATAGTGTTAACGCTCACATCCACATTTTTCTTTTATTTCTTCCTTCTACGTTTACCCCCGCCTCTGCCATGCTTGACCACCCCAACACCCACATACCTAAGCACAGAGACCGCCGCTTAGACCTTGTTGAAGCTGTAGCTGAAGCCGTCCGGTGTGCGATTCAGCGACAATTTGCCGGGTGGTGCGAAGCGGTGTGGATTGGGTGTGGTTTGCTGATAGTAGGGTTGTTGTTGTGGCTGTGCTTGATAGCTGTTGTATTGTGGCGCCGGTGGATTATAGGCTGGCTGTTGTGGTGGTGGATTGTAGGCGGGTGCTGGTGGCTGATATTGTGGTTGTGGTGCCTGATAGCCACCTTGTTGCTGACCGAAACCGGGGTCATTGTAACGTGGATCGTAGGAGCCATCATCGTAGTCGTTGCTGCGGTAACCGCCAGACTGTGCTGGTGGCTGGTACTGTGGCTGTGGTGCATAGCCCGGCTGTGGGACGGGTTGTGGTGGAGCTGGTGGTGCTACTGGCAAGTGATCACCGCTGGCTTGGAAACTGCGGATAAATGGAAATGATTTAAGATAACCGTTTTCTCAAACTGTTATAATTATAATTATTTAATTAAGCAATTGTTGCTAGCGTATATGTGAATTTGTAATTGCTTTACTAAGTTACTAAGTTGGCAACAATTTTATAAGCTAGTTGCCTAATTAACATTGATTGTTTGTTCACACAGAAAAATCGAAAATTGCTACATTTAACTATTCATAAGCAAGCATATAGCAGCACCTTTTATTGAGGTCTCCATAAATTTGTAACTGTTTGTAGTTAGAGTGGTTAACCAATTAGCTCAGCGGTCATAGCTGAACGCTCCAACAACTAAGTTTACAAAAAGCAAAAAAAGTAATAATATAAATCTTGATTCAATTTACTGCAGCTGAGCGATAACAATAATTTATTTATGCAGGTTTCTTACACTGAGTTCCCTCTTTCCCCTTTGCTATAAAACTGGTTTGGGCAATGGGTGGCAGCTTTAACTCAGTGTACCTAATCGCCAACAATATGGCTCCACGCACATTTGCTCAATAATTGCCTAACTGACCGCAGTTGCAATCGACCAATAAATCAAAACAGTTTGCAACACCACAAAAGACATTCACATTTAATCGTTATTGCAAAACGCACCCTATATCCTGATAGCAAACTACTTTCAACTAATAACTTCTTTCAACTTTTCTTAAACAGAAGTAAAAGTTTATAATTTATTTCAGTAAATTTATATCTCTTTTACAAAATTACCTTAGACACTAACATATGGAAGATATAAACTGTGATCTAGACTATCATAAGAAATATCCCCATGCATATTTCACTTTCATATCAAATCTCTTGAGAGTTCTAGGAATTTAAGGTGTTCAAACATTATTATGCTTGGTTATGACTTTTTCATTAAGAAAGCTCTCTCTGACTCATACTCTAATATAAAGAGCTTTCAGGTTTTCAACTTTCTGGGTTGACAAAAAGAGAGGTTAACCTTATCCCCCCTAAAAGCTAATATGCGCAAACCTTTTGAGCGCAGTATAAGAGTTCTCAATTATTTGATACGTTTTCGATTAATAAGTACTAGTTTTGGAAATGTTATGGGTATGTTTTAGTTCTCCTCTGGTCGTCTCTATTCATGCGACATATAAACATTCTCTATCTTTCCTTTTCACTCTACTTTCTAACCGTTTATTCGATGAGCACTAATTTCTATTCATATAATTATGAATAAGCCGTGGTTACCTCGCCTACTTCATGTTTCGAAAGACTAATATGACGAGTCTATTTAGTCTTGTCCATCTGTCTGTCTGTATGTACGCAAATTAGTCCTTCAGTTTTTGAGACATCGATCAGAAATATTTCACACGTCTATTTCCCACCAAGAAACTGTTTATTTGTTGGAACCACCCTAATCACTTCCCAGCTATACTAGCTGATCTATCAAAACCAAGTCGTTGTTTGAACATTATCCAAGAAATTTGGCATAGGTTACTATGCAATGCAACGGTATCATCCCTGAATATATTCAAATTGGACCACTTAGCATATTGATGTAGTGGTCCGATCAAAATTTAATTCCATAAAAACTTTATAATATTGCCCTAAAATAGGCCACGTTCTGCTTGAAGAAATCCATGTAACCTCTTAACTTGTCTCTTGTTTTTAACCCTAAAATTCTTTTTCTATCATTCTACTTCTTTTTCTGTTGCATTTCATTCTTTACTCACCCATTTTTGCCAGCAGTGTAGGAAATTGTACGACGTTCGCCTGTAGGATCTACATAACTGTAGCTACCGTGACGTGTACCATCGGCATCGGTTTCCTCCTTGAAGTTAATTCCATCCTCTTGTGTATAGGCAGCACCGAATTTGCCATCACCGGCCAGGTAACGTTGTTCACTAATGATAGCCGCTGTCTTGGGATTTTGATTGTAACCCTGACTCGCGGCAATGGCAACTAAGGTGCTTAAAAGGATCTGTTGAAAAAAGTAGAATGGAAATATTTAATTTTTTTTCTTGTTTTCTGATAAAATAAATAGTGGAACACAAAAAATTTTATGAGTAACCGTTTGGTTTGAAAATTAAACTAATATATCCTCGAAACGCAATTTTTAATCATGGCTTTCACAATTTGCTATTTGCTAATATATTAAATTTTATTAGCGAGACATTATTTAAGACATTATTTAATTTTAAATTATATGACTACAAACAAATATTAGCATAAAAAGATATTAACTATTTATTTTTTTTT